TTCGTGCAGCATCGACACAGGTAGGGCAGTGCCTGAGTTAAACAATAGACAGGATATGAAAAATCTGAAGAGGAGACAGGATGGATTGGAAAGTGATGAGAAGAGTGGACCCAGAGCAGAGACATAGCATAGGAAGGTATGGAAACACAAGAAACTGTGACAATGTTGTAAGAGAAGAGAATCAAAACTGGACTAGAAAAGTAGGAGAGGTACCTGGAGTTCTGACACACAGTGTAACTGCTGGCATTGTAAAGAGCAGTGAAAGATCTGTTATTGTATCATTTTGTCATAATTAACTTTTAGCTTTCCTGTTTCACTATTTAGGAAGCATACTGAATGTTTCTGCTTGTTACGTATTACTTTTAGTATTCTATACAAATATGTCATTATACCTACGTGATGGGGAATAGGAAAAGGAACATCTCTGAGTTTAAATGATAAAGGAAATTTAGGGAAAAAAAAATCAGAGTGATTGAGAACCAGGGAGGAAGACTTGAGTTCCCTATCTATTTTTAAGCCAGTTCCAGGTGCTTTTCTGTAGGATGCAGTTCATCTGTGGGAGGAAGGTGAGCTGCAGTGCCAGCGTGTGCTATGAAGGAGGGTGTGAGCGCTGCATGGAATTTCCTTTTCCCACATAAATCCCCACTTATTCCTGGCCAATGTAGGGGTGAAGGGCAAGAGGGGCAGTGAGTTTAGACACAGTCAGAGAAAACTGAGAGTATGAGAAATGTAATTGGTTTAGATGCCTTTGATTGGATGTCACCTTGGCAGGAAAAAAAAAAAAAAAAAAAAGAAAAAAAGAAAAAAAGAAAGAGGAAAGGAGCCCTCTTCTGTCTGAGTACTCAAACTGCTGAACTTGGATACACAAAGATCACAAGCAAAGAACACTGTGCAGCAATACCAAAATCTGTATTCTGAGCTGAATGAACATCCAAAAATGCCTTTGTAGCTCACTTGGTATAAAATATCCTCTAAAGTATTTTAAACTAGTTTAAAATTATTTTAAAATCATGTCTGTCTCTACATTCATTGTGGTGAACAATTGCCCTTACTTTCTTCTGGTTTCATGTATCACCATAGCACATAGTAAAGGAATCAAATTAATTACTCTATCTCTTTTAAAATAACTCAAAGTACGTCTCTGATATATGCTTTTCATATTTATTTTGCTACTGCTGCCTTGTATGCTGCTCCTTCAAGACACAGCACTAAACGTCACATACAAGTATACCAAGGATAAATTAATTATGCTTTTAGCAAAATGCAAAGTATTTTACAACTATGATATGGAAAAGAAGACAGAAATAACATGTTTTTGCCTCCTTCTATTGCCTTTTATACTCCTCCCACATATTCAAGTTCAGAGATGCACCCAGTCTTGCTTGATTTATCAATTTGGTTAGGACAGATTTACACCTCAAGGAAAGCAACAAGGAGGACTCAGGCAAAGCTCCTAAGCCCTCCTCATAACATGCATTGTTGTTTTTGGATGCTTAATGTCAGTCAGCCAAGGTCCAAAATAGAGAGACTGCATCTCAAACAAACAAAAGACATTGCCCATATATGTTCTTTCACGTTTAAAGTAGGCTTATTTCTCACTCATCTTTAAGACTATTGAATTTGAATTGTGACAACCTATTCTTCACTACTGGTTTCGAGCTACTTTATGCTTTCTAGTGAATGGCAATTAAATCAGATTTTGTTACTGTATCAACTCATTTTGTTCGATATTTTTTTTGTAATAAGGCTAAATTAGCAAGAATACTTTCCTTTGCCTAAAACCCTGAATAGGCATATACTGAAAAATACAATGTAGCATTAAAAAAAAAAAAAAAAAAAAAAAAACCAAAACTGGGGATAAATGAATGGCAGAATAAATAATTTATGCTAATGAAATTACTGCAATTAGTAGTTCCACAATGACCCTTTTAAAAGCCACAGCTGTTAATGTCAGGAAGTGCTGTCACCGCTGACCTTATCATAAGAGAAAGTGACAAATTGGAAATGCAGGGAAGACCAATCATCAAAGAGGTCTGTTCGGGAACGATTAGTGTTTTCTGAAAAACAGCGTGAATTACAACCAGCTGCTCTCTGGCTCGGCGTGTCTCCCATGCTGTGCCATTTTGTTAAGCTCGGTAACAGTAGTTATTTTGCCCCACTGAGACAAGTTGTCTCTGGCCACTTCCAGCTCTACCGGAACCCACTTCTTCCCTCGCTGATTTACAAATGAAATTGTTGTTAGAGGGCTTTTCAGGACTGCTGAGTTGAGACCTCTTATAAGGATCATGTGTGAGAAGACTATCTTTGCCTAGGAAGATCTGTATGGCAGGGTGTGCGTGTCGTACACAATAGGAAAGGAGAAAAAGGCTGTAAGAGATGTCAGTGTGAAGCCAAGTGCTGCACAAATCTGCATAAAATGCCCATTCCTGCTGACCAGCAGGATGTTAGAAACATTTTTTTACAAGTGCATGTAACATAAGATGGATTTTTGCTAGCTTTGCTTCAACTAATGTATGTTTTTTTTATTATTATTTGTAAAGCAATTTCTTTCTGCTTTCCCTAAGCGTAAATCATTCTTTGTTTAGACCTTGCATTAATTTCTGTTGTAGCAATTGCAGGTGAAATACATATTCTTTTAAGCTAGATTTTAAAAGTCATGAGAAAATAATGAGGTTTCTCACTGAGAAAAATGGCAAGATTTTTTGCATCAGCCTGATTGTAATATTAATGATGTAGGCTTAAAACATTTAACTGCATCAACAACCACTCGTGAGCAATTTTCCCAAAGTTCTCTAAGCATTATTGACAATGCTTTGGTAAATTACGTGTGACTTTCCTAAGAGTTGGTGTAGCTCATTTAATTCATATTAATTGATTTTTAGGCTTACCTTGATTAATTGAACTGGGTTAGTCTTGTACAGAATGCAATAAATAATCATTAAAATGAAGGAGATGTGACTCCACAAATTATAAAGTTAAGTATGCTAGAAGTCACAGAGGACAAAATGGAAGTTAGTTACAATGATAGAGTTAAATAGGCTTTCCTAGTATTTCCCTGTTAATTTAGCATGCAGTATCCTAGCTTAGACCTGTATTTGGATATATTTTAGTATTACAGGTAGATATGGCCCTTTAAAATGAAGATAAATGAATTTAGAGTGTTCCTTTATTCCAGGAAAGTACAGTCTTAAAGCTCCTTTTTCAAAAAATGTAGGAAACCAACAACCAGTAGCTGGCAAAGTTACCAGCATGTTTTCACCTCTGCTCACATTGTACTTCCCTGAGGGCCTCTGGTCTGAGCTGAGGGTATGTAGTGGATGGCCAATTCTGTCTGATCAAAATTTAATGGCATTAAAAAAAAAAAATCACTCTGTTCTGAGTGGGAATTTAAGAATATTTGAAGTATGTGGAGATGAGAGGATTTAGGGTAACCACTGTATTTTCTTTATGGGATATATTTTTAGGTGGGGTTTTCAGAGGTGGAATAGAAAATTCATATATTGTACACAGAATCATAGAATAGTTAAGGTTGGACGAGATCACTATGATTATCTGGTCTAACCATGACTAACTTTATTAATTCTGTATTTGTAGTGATTGACATCATCTGTGCTTTTAGATTTTAGGAAAAAAAAAAAAAAAACGAAACAAAACTGTTGAAGCACTTTGCTTCTATGGGAATGAAGGCTTCATGAATGCCAGCACAGAATTAACTGATTTATATGCAAAAAAAAGTTGGAGGAGACTCATTTAAGTTCAGTGTCCTTTACATGATGACAAAATGATGTTTTAGGTAAACTTTGAAGAATACTGTTATGAGTGAGCCATCCTTAGTATCTTCTTCCGTCGTTTTTGAGACCTTTCTTTGCTCTCAAATTTCATTTGTTCCTGTTCCTTGGTTATGCTCAGCCACTCAGGAATCCATTTGCAATTTCAGGGCTTATGACATGCACCTAGAGGATAGCGGTGGAATGCAAGTGTCAGGTGAAAGTCAAATCACAAGAAGATGAAGCTCTGTATGTGGGGATTTTTGTGCATGGCCCATGGCCAACTGAATGGTAACAAAGACAGCTGGAGCCTTACATCAGCAGTCTGCTTCTTGTGGGGTTAGTGCCACTTAGCCCCCACTCAATGCTGCTGTCTCATTTGTGGCAAGTCAGGGATGGGGAGGCTGCTTTCAGCCTTTCTCCACACACACACCTACTCATGATTAGATGTAATCTAGTAGTATCTTTATTTAAAACAAAAAACAAACAAACAAAAAAACCACCCGTGTGTTTCACATGAAAAATGTAGATGAAATAAATGAAATGCTCAGTTACATCTTTGCATAGCATCACAGCTTTGTATTGCTACATGAGTTTAACATCGGGAGCTGACTGGTTCATTCCCACTTCTCCATCTAAAGCCCTGCAAAAATAGTCAGGAAAGTGTAACTGATGTCTATTAGAAATAGCATAGCTTAAACAATGATTAAAATACTCTGAATTCTAATTTGACAATGACCAAATGGTAATCTGACAGATGGATCACTTGGATGGTTGAATGGTTATACTCTAAGAGTTGCAGTCAATAGCTCAATGTCCAGGTGGAGATCAGTCAGAAGTAGGATTTTCAGGGGTCAGTAATGGGTCAGACGCTATTTAACATCTTTGTTGGTGACATGTTCAGTGGGACTGCGTACACCCTCAGCAAGATGGTGATGGCACCCAGCTATGAGGTGTGGTCAACGAGCTAGAGGTAAGGGATACCATCCAGGAGGACCTTAACAGGTTTGAGAGGTGGGCCTGCACAAACCTCATGAAGTTCAACAAGGTCAGGTGCACGTGGGTTGAGGCAATCCCTAGCACAGATACAAACTGGACAAAGATTGCATTGAGGTCATATTGAAAGAAAAGGACTTGGAGATGTTGGGTGATGAAAAATTCAACACAAGCCAACTTGTAGTCCAGAAAGACAGCTTGGGCTGCATCAAAAGAATCATGACTAGTTGGGCAAGGATGGTGATTGTCCCCCTCTACTCTGCCTACCTGAAACCCCACCTGCAGTACTGCATTCAGCACAAGAAAGGCATTGAGCTGTGGGAACAAGTCCAGAGGAGAGCCAAAAAGATGAGAGGCTTGAGCACCTCTCTTGTAAAAACGGGCTGAGAGAGCTGGAATTGTTCAGCCTAGAGAAGAGAAGGTTCCAGGGAGACCTTATAGCAACCTTCTAGTAACTAAAGAGGGCCTGCAGGAAAGTTGGTGAGGAACTTTTTAGAAGGACATATAGTGATAGGACAAGAAGTAATGTCTTTAAACTAAAAGAGGGTATATTTAGATTAGATGTAAGGAAGAAATTCCTTCCTCGTAGGGTGGTGAGGCACTGAAGCAAGTTACACAGGTAACGTGTTTATTCAGTGCCAGGTCCAGTAGGCTCTGGTCAACTGGAAGGTGTCCTTGCCAACAGCAGAAATGTTGAAACTAGATTTTTAAGGTCCCTTCCAACCTAAACCAGTCTATCGTTCTATGCTGAAACACCCGATCACAAAACAGCTTCAGCAACTAGATGGACATTTGAGCATTCTGAGGGAGCTGTGCAGCAGGTGCAGTTAGACTATTCTTACAAAGTTCTCAAAGTCATCAAAATTCTGTGAGCTACAAATATGAGCTGTCATATGGAAATAAAAGGTGATGCTTTTAATAGAGATCCATGAAGTGTACATGAATTTTGTTTGTAGATCAACTTCTTGGGGCACGTATTGTTAGAATTTCTCAAGAATGATAGCTAATGATCCTGACTCCTTAATAATGCATTATCTTTTTCCCTGTAGGTAGAAGATCTAAAATTCAAACTTGCTTCACAAGAGCCAGAACTGCAACTGAGAAATCAAGATGCTGAAGCTTTGATTGCTAAGATAGGGTTTCAGACTGAGAAAGTGAGCCAAGAAAAGGCCATTGTCAAAGCAGAGGAGCAAAAGGTCGGTCTAATTCCCTCGTTTAGTGCTGTTGAGCTATATTTAGTAGAAAATAAGCCTTTTTAGGTGAATAGTTTTGAACAACTTCCTCTCCAGGGAGCATAAAGTCTAAAGAATTATTATACTTACACATGTAACAGCATTTCACACCGTGATTACCACTTGACCTTTCTTTACATTATGCCTTTTCCCAACCTTTTAGCTGTTTTAATGAGATGAAAGAACAATAAATACTGAGCTCATTCAAGCATTTAATGGATGTGGATCTTGAGAATCAGACCTATTTGTAATACAGTAAAGGTCAGAGAGTCATCTCTGAGCACTTCAGATTTCTAAAGGCTTTGAGGCTCTAGGTGAATTGAACAACTCGATTGATACAAAAGTCCATTCCAGTACATTGCGATACTGCAAGGTGCAAGCCTTGCATTTTAAGATTATAATGGAGTTCCTAATTGTATGCGTCATCAATGTTGAATCTTCCTCCTACTCCTCTCAGTTCAGCCTATAAATATTACTTTCAACTTCCACATTGGAAACATAGAGGTTTAGTGTATTTTCTCTCACCACAAACTGGATAGAAATGCAGTTTCATTTTGATTCCATAATTTGAATCTACTGTTAAAAGTGCAGTTTTTGAAATTAAACACTGAAGTATCGAATGCTATAAACTGAAGCTCTTCTGCCTTTAAATCTGAAAGACTCATTCAACTCCAGCATTTCTACAAAACCTTAGGTCCATTGTGTCATTTATCAGTACTGCAGAGAGAAAATTTTAAAGAACTCACAATAGCTGTTCACATCTGATTTTAAGCTATGGAAACTTTAAATTGCCAAAAAAATTGTAAACCTATTTCAGATGCTGGTGAATGGAGAAAGCTATGCTGTTTAGGAGCAGTCAGAACTTTCATTCACTTTTGTTTTGGTTTTTTAAAAGACATTATTATTAGCTGATAGTTAGTACTTTCAATAATAACCTTGTGCCTCACCCTAATTTTAATGAAGGAAAAGTGGTTTTTTCCACTGACATAAATGAAGGCTGGGTCAGGACCTTTATATTTCTTTGCATTATGCTAATTATGGATTTCAGCATTTCACTAGTCCATATCTTCTGTAGGGATCAAAAATTGCTACGAAGTTTCAAGTCAAAACAGTGCAATCAATTAAACTTAAGCAAATTGGATCAAAAAGCTCAATGTCCTAACAATCTCTTTTCTTTGGTGCTTTCCCCCTATAAGATCTATGTGCTTATGATGCTACAATTTACGATGATCAAAAAATAAAGCATTCATTAAGCAACTAGGTGAACCACATCCAGTGACTGTCATGGGATAATAGTACCTGTAGGATACCTTGTTTCAGAGATGACATTCAGCATGTTGCATTGATGACTACCATATTCTCCTGCTCATTGTTTTATTGCACTTGTGAAACATTCTCACTGGAATTAAGGTGTTGTTTAATGCTACATTGCTTTAAGGCTAATGGAGGCTTCTGAATATTAATCTTCTCCTAATCTTTTTGTTACCAAAGGTCCCCAAACCAATAACCCACCAGCTAGTAATTTGTGATTAATCTTTGGAACTGATTAAAATGCACTGCTTTTTTAAAAAATTATTCTGGCTTTCCTGTTCTGCAGGTTTCAGACTGTAGTTTGTTTATAAAGATGTTCTCAGTTTTACAACACTTGAGCCATTAAATGTCCCAGAGGTATTCCCCAGAGTGAAGCGTTATGTAAAAAAAGATGAAGAGTGGAAGTCACTTTAGATCAGACTCCTCAGGAAACATGGGAACAGCTTGGATGTCCTGTAAACATGGCAGAACTACATATCCATACAGTAATCAACAAGGGTCTGACTATGAATGTTGCACTACTGAGGTTTAAAATACTGGACAGTAACACTGCTGTCATTTTATGAGCAGTCTGTGTGCTCTGAATGCTTCCAGCCAGAGAGGTTCCCAGAGGAAGATGCATGTGACACTGCCTTTTTAGATGGGAACCCTGCCAGAAGAAGAAATCAAACAGAGGAGGTTGTAGGTGGGTACAGGACAGTGACATTAGCTGGGGACTGGGGACAAAGATGAATGCACACCGACCAGCTTTTCTGATTTACCTCTCTCAGTTGAAGTATGCTGTTTGCATTGCATGTTTAAGGTGCTGTGCTCATGGTCTGATTGCTAATGGCACACAATAGGGTACATTCCTTCTAGCTTTTCTAACAATTTGGCCATCACTTAAGATCTCTATAGTGTAGAAATTATTGATGTGAAGGGGACTAAACTTCTGGAGAAAGAGTGAAAATCTCCTTCATCTCTCGTGAAGGGAAATATATTTAAGAAATAATTTTCTAAACGTTATCTGCAACTTGTTTGTTTTTCTCTCCCTTAAGAAAAGTGAACATGTCCTGTATTTGATTTGAGCATCAGCACACAATAAGTAACTAAGTGTAAGGGAAAAAAGAGACAGAACTGTAATGGAATGTGACTTATATTAACTGTTCGTTTTAATGAAGAATACTGTCTCATGTAAGAATTGCTACATACTTTGAGTGATGCTTTTTCACCTGCTTAAATGCTTAGTAAGTTTAACCAAAGGAGTATCTTGACTGAGTTTTAAATTTCTTCAAGTTAATTTTGATAACGTGAGCCTCAAACTTTCTTAGAGACTATATAGATAAATTTAAAGCTGCAACTGTATATCCATTATTTAATTAATTTATTTATTAATTTAAAAATACACTGTGACTTAGGTGCAAACCAATAAGAACTGGGAATTTCATCCTAAAAGCTACACCAGTTCTGTTCAGCACTTCTCTTTCACAAGAGACAAAGATTTAACTTTATTTGTAACACTTCTGGCGTAAGGAATATTGATTTTTAATCCTTGTTATTTCCATGGCTAATGTCTGTTTATGTCCCTTCTAAGAAATGGATACATGGAAAGTGCCCCTGACAGTTGTAAAAATAAATTTTGTAAGGATCCTGCATTCTTATAGAGGCTTGTTATTTCTAAAGCACAATGCTTGATCCAAATATTAACATCTTGATCACTGTGATATCCTCCTTCTCTCTAATTAGACTTGTTTAAGCAAGACCCAACAGGAAACATGCCTGTGAGATGAGCATGAGGTACAAGGATAATAATGAGCTTGTATAACCAACTTCAGCCCCAAGCAATGTGTCCTGAGAAATATGCATGATAATCTCCCAAATATGCAACTGCAGATGTCACAGTGCCCTCCAGGGAAAATCTACCAGATAGATTTGCACCCATGGAATTATAATCAGCTTTTAAACTGCTAGTTATGTCAGTGCAGGAAGTTGTGAAGGTGCTCAGATTTCACTTAAAACTGAAGCTAAGTGAAATAAAGTCAATCTGAGCCAAAAAAAGACTTTTGATGAATCTGAATCTGCTTACATTGATATGTTTAATTTCCAAGCCCGAAATGAAATAAATACTGTTTTCATACAGGATATATTATTTTCTTTTGTTTACCCCTTTGTTTTAGCCCTACAGTTTCAGATTTAGGACAGGAAACAAAAAGAATGAAGCAAATTTACCAAAAGATGGAGGCTGTTTTAACAAATCCAATGCGTTCATCTATGCTCAAAAAATACAGTGAATGTTTTACTTTGCAGGGAACACCACAGTGTATGGCCAAGACTGACTATTGTCTCCCTGCTGTTTTCTTTGATTTTCTGTTTTTCTGTGCAAAAACAGGTACCTGAACTGGTGTTACACTTCCCATCAGCCTACGTTGCACCTTACATACAGAATTGCAGAGGCTGTGATCATGAATATTTCATAGTGTAATATTAGTGATAGACTTCAAAATTCCTGCTAATAGAAAGTTCTGTGGAACAAATCCACTATTACTGCACAGTCCTGCACGTGTTTCTCTGCTTTTCCTTTTTCAGGTTAATCTTACAGATCTGAAAGCCTTTACCAACCCTCCAGTGGCTGCAACAAATAGTACTGCTGCAGTAGTGGTTTTTACTGACTTATAAGAGAAAGTGCCCAATGACCAAAGCTAGAAATCTCTGGAAGTCTTTATGGGAAATTTCATGGCCTGTGGGATATGGTATAGGATCTGAAATTAGAGGAGAAAAGGATACTTAAAAATTGGAGGCAGAGAAGGAGAAACTAAATAATATATTTATTTTCTCACAATTTAAGTCTTTAATTTAAGGGGATAAATGCTTATTCTGCTTTGTTCTCTTCTGCATGAGTTTGGTGACAAGTTTAAGCCAGCCTGAGCACCATGTGAATTTATTAATAAGAAAAATAGATGAAAAGACAAAGGGAGAGAATTTTGCGATATTTATCTCATGTCTAAAAACTTCTTACACAAGTCACAAAATATGTTTGTGAGGGTAAATTCTGCAGGATTTGGAGGGAAATAATGTTTTTGCTTTTACAGCATTATGTTTCCAAAGCAACAACTTAATGCAAGATTTCAGTTTTGCATTTGTGATGAAACTAGGAGTTAGCTTCTGGTTCTTTGAAATGGAAGAGAAATAATGCACTGGAACTTCTTTTCTTGCAGGTTGATAACTTCTTTAAAGCTTTAATAAACTATGATAAGGAGTGTGTGCCTGGGTTATCAATACAGTAAATTTCACTTAGTTGTTTGTGTACCAATTCCTCTCTTTACTAGCACTGATGGGGAAATTTCTGTTATTGAAGGTCTTTATTATCTTAGAAAGCTGAATTTAGTGTTCTGAGGAAAATGCAGCCTCCTTCCAAGGAAGATATTCTGTACTTGACAGAACGTATATATGTATTTATTTTTAGAAATAATAAAAGCTGGAAAAGAGGTGTGGGTGTCCAGATCCTTTCAATTTTCATTATGTTGAACAGTTGGGAAATATTCATCTCCAAATGTAGTGTTTAAATCAAAATGTCCATCCGAGTCTGGCTGTCTAGAGTGTAAGACATATAGCTCATCATCTGTGATTCCCTTGAACATTTGGTAGCAAGTTTGCTTCATTCATTCTAGTATGAT